GGAATAATAGATTTATTGTGTAAAGCGCACATTGCACAGATAATACTATTCCTGTCTCTTTCCTTTGGACTTACTCTACCGTGTCTGTTATTACTATAACATAGAACTCCCATAAACCCTTTACCAGATTCACCAGTTATTTATATTTTACCCCACTTGCTTTATTAAAAAAAATCTATATATCTATGTAATTATTTTCTGGACTATTTGAGAGTAAGATGCAGGCACGGTGCCCCTTTATCCCTAAACGGTTCAGTGTCTGGTTCCTAAAAATAGGCCATTCTTTTGTATAGCTTCAGCACAATTAACAAAGCCAAGCGGTTGCTTTCGTACCTCGCACAGTTCAGGCTGTCTGAGGCCTAGTTCAATGGGCCTGCCTGCCCTCCTCATTAGCCTCTGTGCCCTGTTTTCTTGCTTCCCATTTCCTGACAGCAGAACCTCTTTGTCCATGTGTTGTTGTAGACAGGGTATCCATTCATTCAGCAAATGTTTACTGAGTGTTCGCCAGGTACAGGGGTGGGGTAGGAGGATTTAAAGATTCCCTTAACTGGACCTCTCCCTCTTCCCCCCTCTGCCAATTCTCAGGACCATGGCACTTACTTTCTAGTCAATGTTCTGGCCTCCCAGGCTGTTAGGATGACTCATAGTGGTGTTCAGCTTATCTCCTTCTATGCTTCCCCATTCCCACTGATCCACATAGAGGTGACATTTTCATCCCCATCTCAATCAGGTAGAAACGATTGGAGATGCCTACATGGTGGTGTCTGGCCTCCCAGGCCGAAATGGTCAACGCCATGCCCCAGAAATTGCTCGTATGGCCCTAGCATTACTGGATGCAGTTTCTTCCTTCCGCATCCGCCACCGACCCCATGACCAGCTGAGGCTACGCATAGGGGTCCACACGGGTAAGGCTGACTCTCACTCCAGCCCTCGTGTCTGCTTTTCCCAGGCTCTCCCAACCTCTTTCTTCTCCTAGGGCCCGTCTGTGCTGGGGTTGTTGGCCTGAAGATGCCCCGCTATTGTCTTTTCGGAGACACGGTGAACACTGCTTCCCGCATGGAGTCTAATGGTCAAGGTAAAACATGAGCCCTCAAGCCCAGCCTCAGCCTCAATGTGTGTTGTCCTTTTCTTCTTTTCAGAGTTCCTCCAAATCTCTCAATCTGAGAGACCACAGTTCCTGACTGCCCCATCCTTGGACATATTTTGGTTCTAGTGCATGCCCTGGGAAGACTGAGAGCCTCCTGAGGGGTGGTGGTTTGGTAAAGCTCTCTCCGGTACCGCCAATTCTTCTCTTGTCTTTTCTTTGATTCATCTTCCCACCATCCCTGCAACCTCCTCCCACCCCCAGCCCTGAAGATCCATGTCTCCTCTACCACCAAGGATGCCCTGGATGAGCTAGGATGCTTCCAGCTAGAGCTTCGGGGGGATGTGGAGATGAAGGTGATGGCAGGCCATGGGGAGGGGTCATGGAAAGGGAGGATGAAAGCAATTATGGGGACCATGGGGAAAAGAGAGAAAGAGAATAACATCAAAGAATTTGAATTATCTTCACTCCCCCACTTCTAGGGAAAAGGAAAGATGCGAACTTACTGGCTCCTAGGAGAGCAGAAAGGACCCCCTGGACTCCTGTAAACCCTACTTCTTCCCAAATCAGACAGTCTCCTGCTGCTGGGACCTGGGTGGTCACCATCTCTCCACACACCAGAAATGGACATTGTCATGTAAGATGGAAACCAACGTGCACAAACCCCGACCTTATATGGAAGTTGTTGCTCTTTGCAGCTCAGCCTTGTACATATACCTGCCTCGCTCTGGCCTGGTCCCCTTCTTTCTTACCTTCTGTAAATATCTGTATCTAAACCAGAATATTTTGGCCAAATATAAAACAACAAAAAATGTCATGGTGTCAGAGTCTGGGTTAGGGGCAAGTCCAAGGAAAGGTGATGAGGTGTGAACATGGTAACGCCTAGAATCACTGAAATTGCAATCTCAGGACAAGAGAGAACCCTTTATGGAAAGCCCCTTCACCAAGTACAGACAGAATGTACTTCCTTCCCACCTCTCCAGTACAGATGGAAATAGATTCCATATTCCACATCCCTCTTCCCTCCTCAGTCCTTAGATAGTGGTTCTACACATTTCACCACCCTGTTCTCCCTGACAGGCAAGGGAAGATATTTCTCCCAGTTGGTGGGAATAATTCTCAGGTTCATAGGGCAAAGGCTGCCCCAGAGACAAAGGCACTGGTGTCGAGAAACTGCAGTTCTTCCGGAATGGCGTGTCCAGTGTCTTGATGTTACTGACACCCTGGAGGAGGGCCAGAATGAGCACAGACCCTGCTCTGCACCAAGCTGCAACCGAACAGCCTCTTCCTCGCCTTCTCCTCCCTCCCCCCCCCCCCCCCTCCCAACACCCTCACACACCGGCAGCTGTGGTGCCCTCTGCATCCAGAAGGTTTCAGGCTGCTCCTGACGGTAGTCGTGAGGCTGTAAGGGAGAAAACCCGAAAAGCTCTTGGTTTGAATCTCCCTCTCTTAACCTCTGCTACTTTCCCACAGCCCATTAGAGCCCAGCTGTACAAGTGGGATGGGATAAGCTCTCACCTTGGTTGGGGCAGGAGGCCCGGCAGGTACCAGCTCCTTTCGGTAGTCATGGTGTGTCACAGACTCAACCTCAAAGTGATTCCTTGTGGGTTCCTGCTCTGCCTGCACCTCTTTACTATACAGTCCTGGGGGGCATCAGAGCCATTCTTCCCAGATTTTTGTCTTCCCCCTCCCCTTTACCCTTCCCCCGGCCTCTCACCAGATCTGATGGCGCAGGAGCATCTCCACCATGGCTTCACGCTTTCCTGTGGGAGGGCAGGGAGGGGAGAGAGTGGGGAAGTCTGGTTAAGAAGCAGGCCCAGAAGAAAAAAATGTGAGAAAAGGAAGGAAAATCATGGGGTTTTACCCTTATACCCATTGGACAATCCATAGTCCTACTAGAAATTCCTTCCTCTCTCTTTTCTCTAATGGGCTCATGCTTCTCTCATGCTTCCCACCTCGAATTGGCTGATAGTAGTTTCGTGGGGGCTGGTAGGAGTCTTTCTGGGTGGTGCTGAAGGACATGGGTGACTGTAGCTGCAGGGTCAGCAGTCCCTGGTGTCCATGTCGGAAGAAGAAACTCTCAGAGCCATCCTGCATACTTGGAACTTGATCCAGGTGGTTGGTGGCTCTCTGTGGGCCCCAAGTTGAGTGATATCCTTTATGGTACCCACCCTCATCATAAACTACTGCCTCCCCCAGGAAACTGGGGGCAGCCTTCAGGAAAAGGGAGCAGGTCAAAACCTTAATACCTCCTCCTCCCAGTTGTAGAGAAGGCAGTGGCCCCGTGGCAATGTTTCACTGAGAACCTTACAGTTCCCTTCAACCTGGGGGGTCTTCCATTGCCCTCGAGCACCAGGTTCTGAGACTTGCAAAAATTTCCAGGGTTGTTTCCGAGGTTCCCAGTGGCAGCGATTCCAGGAGGCATAATTAGGGGTCAGCTCTGCCCTGAGGTTTCTGAAGCTTGGGAGATTGGAGGGGCTGAGCTCAGGGTCATGGCCACCGTCTGGACCAGGCCCAGAGTCAGTGGCAGGACCAGGGCCAGAACCAGGACCTGTGCCTCCACCAGAGTCACAGCCAGGGCCACAGCCATGGCCAGGACCAGAACCGGAGCCAGGAACAGGGCCAGGACTAGAGCTAAGGTCATTTGTAGTACAGGGATCCTGGGTGAAACGGGAAACATAGACAGGCTCAAAGCCAAGTCTCCTATGGCCTGTCTTGTGGGTAAAGCCGGCTCCAGTGCAGGGCTCCTCAGGAAGACTGTCAGAAGAGCGGTCCAGGAGAACGCTCGGCTCAGAGTAGCGCGCTAGGGTCTTCGTAGATAACGCATCGGTTTTGGCGGTGGAGGCGGCTGCAGCTGCAGTGGTGGCGGCTGCCAGGACCGACCCAGGACGGCCATCCGAAGGAAACGGTTCTGAAGCCGACGGGAGCCCTCCAGCATCAGGCTGTATGTCCAAAGATCTAAAAGAAAGTGAATGCGTCAAAGTCGTCAAAAGCGCAGCCCAGTAAGTCCGCTGACCCTTCTTGTTTACACCTGCAGCCAAAGCTGCCGCTCTCACCGAGACCGCGATCCCTTGGTAGACTCGGTGGTCTCCATCTTCAGGAACCAGCTACCGGGTTGCCATAGAGACGGCAAATAATTCCAGGAGACTGCGCAGAACTAGAGTTGGGCGGAAGCGTTGGGTGGGGGTGGAGGCGGATTCCCTGCGGGGCGGAAGTCTTCAACCTGCCGCTGTCTGGGAAGTTTGCTTTCCGTTCAGACTCCGTTCCGCCTCAGCCCAGCTTTTAAGGTTCCGTTGGCCTAGGGCCCTGCCTTCTACGCTTAAGCATGGTTCTTTTGAGGCTTTCTAAGGTGGTTGTGTTGGAGACAAGCACAGGGCTGGGGTATCAGGGTAAAGCATACTTGGTGTGCTTGTGTAGGGGCAACAGTAACTTCCCCTTAGTTCATTCTCAAAAGTGGAGGGAGTCTTTTTAAAAAAATGTTTAAGGTTGAAAATACATCAAACAACTCAAAAGCAAAATGGTGAGACATGGGGATCCGTCAAAGGCTAGAGGCCTTTTTTGGCGTGATTACTTCTCCTTCATTAAAAGGCCCTCACATTGACCATCCTCCTCTCAGACTCCCTTAGCACTTGGCTTGGCATCTGAGTGAGTGCCAGGATTGAGCAAATCTCACTCCTGGGTTTCAGTCTCTTCCTACTCACACAAGCTTATTCCTACTGCTACTTTTCTAGAAGCTTGATCCAGGTGGACCATTAGTCATGAGGACTCACAGATCTATAGGCAAATGCTTCTTTAACTTCATGGTGGGCCTCCTTAATGTCTCTCACTCAGACCATAGTCAAGAGAGATGATTATCTTTAATCAGTTTTCTTTCCTATTTGTGGTATCTTTATATATTTAAGACAGTGATCCAAAATCGAGGGAGAGCAACTTTATTAGCATCATAGGGTCCTTTTCCCCCACCCTCCAAGCATCCAGGTCTGGGGTTCTTGGTCAGTTGGTAGGTTCAACCTGGAGGCCACTGGAGCTGTCGGCCCCCAAGTACATGAATGTGCAGATGATACACAGACTGTGCGCCCAGCTTCCCATCATTGATCACTGAAACAGAGCTTGGGGTTAGGGGGTCAGGATCATGGAAAAGGTCAAAGATTAAAGATCATATTGAGGGGTAGTTTTGAGAATTTATACGTGAGGGGCTCAAGGGCCAAAAGTCACTCACCAAGTCGGTATCCATCTCCCAGGCCTTCAGCCTTTGCTGTCTTCTTGGCCACAAGGAGAAGGTGTCCTAGAAGCTACAGGGAAAGGGGTTGGAGACAGGTGGCTTCATTCACAGGGAGCAAAACCTCTAGCTGCACCCCCCGAAGCCAAACCTTGGCCCTGCTCTTCCCACCTGCTGGTCCTCTTCCTCAGCCTGGCTAATCCGAGGAATGGGCTTCTTAGGAATGACCAGGAAGTGCACAGGAGCTTGAGGGGCCACATCACGGAATACGAGACACTGGGAGTAGTGACAGGCCAGAGGCCACCATGTTACTTCAACAGGCTGATGGTATCTCAGAAATTCCTAAGGGGATGAGTCCTAAGGGCACCCCACCTGCTTGTCCTCATATAGAATGTCAGCTGGGAGACTTCGATCCAGGATCCGGGAGAAGACAGTTGGAGCTGCTCCCCTAGGAGCTGTCTGCTGGGCCTTGGCCACTTCATTTCCATCAGTCACACCTGCAGCTCCTCGGATCTGAAGGTGGGTCAGACATACCCAAGGGAGGGGGCTGACACTACCTCTCCCATAGAGTGAGTCGGGGCTAGCAGAGGCTGGGCTCTGTTAGTCATTAACTTCATCCTTCTAAGAACCTATTTGTGGTTCTCATCCAAAAGAAAAGTTCCTCAATTTCAGAGCATCAGCAGTGGAGAGTAGGGTCAGATAGTGCTGAGCTTGGTTAGATAAAGGCTGTATTACAATGCAGGACTCAGCAGTGCAATTGATTCCTGTTCCTAATGTGTCTAGTAAATTTAGTTACTGTTCAGAGGAAAGGACACAGGATGAGAACTGGAAACTTAGGTCCCAGTTCTTCTATTACCAACGAATTACCTTAGATAAATCCCTCCTCTTGGCTTCAAATATAAAATAAAGGGCGTGGTCTGTGTCACCTTTGAGACGACTGGAGCTCTTCCCATTTACTCATACCTTGTTACTAAGTTTCCATTAATTTCTATTACTTGTTGCCTGATCTTTAAGCTATGTTACCCGTTTTATTCAGGTTTGACACAGCACGTCTAGGTGTCACATCCGACCTCTTACTGTGAATTTTACTTCCAGTCCCTTAAATCAGTGAAGGGAAGAATTAAGTGAACTCAGCACCCCCAGCCCCAGGGGATTGTGGGTAGGGAAGCCCCAGTTTCCCAGGGGCTCAGAGAAGGCTGAAGTCAGTGCTGTCACATTGTGGGAGAAAGAGCTGGGAGGAACCTGACCCCTCTGACAAGTGGGGGAAAATAAGAGGTTAACGCTTGTGCTCAGAAGGCCAGGGGCCTGACAGAGGCTGGAGACTGGCTCCGAGAAGACAAACCTCATTTCCTGCAGGGGGCGCTGAGGAGGCTGCCCGGAGCAGGCGTTCGGTCAGCTGGGCTTCAGGTAGGCTTGGAAGGCAGCAGCCAATGCACGGACCCTGTGGCGACCTCGGCGCCCGAGGCGGGGCAGGGCGTCGGCCACCGCCGAGAGGCTGCCGCCGCCCACCAGCCCGACCTCACCGCACAGCCCCGGAGCTTGCACCTCGGGAGGGGCGGCGGCGTTCCCTGCCCGGCGTTCGGGCTCCGTCCCCACGAGGCCGCAGGGCCGCGCGCGCCTCGGGTAGGAACGCCTGTCCCCCGACCCCGTAGGGCGGCTGAGCCCGAGGGACGCCCTCCGCGCGCCTACGGCCGCTTCTCACCTGTGCCCCCCGCGGCCCCGCCACCGCCACCGCCACCGCCCTGCGCGCCACGCGCAGCCCGGCAGCCAGCGCCGGGGCTGCCGCCATTTTGCCTCTCAGCCGCCGAACCTCTCCCCGGGCCGGTACGCCGGCCCCGCAGCCAGCCCGAGGTGGGGCTGCCACGGAGCCGGCGAGCGGCAGCCATTGGCTCCGCCGGCGGCCGCGAGCGAGCCCTACCATCCCATTGGTCGCGCTCCTGGGCCCCTGCTTGCTGCCCTTTAGCCCAGAGGGTGGCGCCGTGCACCCCTCTGGCTCCGCCGCCACCCTGGAGGCGGAATCTTTTCATCCCATTGGCTTCTGCCAGCTAGAGGGCGAGTGTTCCACTCCATTGGCTTCGACTTCTGGTCAGAGTGAAGTTTCCTTCGCCATTGGGCCCCCTAAGTAGTTTCGCCAACAGAGTGTCTCACTCATTGGAAGGATTAAGAGACCCGAGGTGGGATTTTCCTCCAGTTGGCTCTGCTGCACCACACTGGTGTGGCACCGAGCCCCTAAGGTCGTAGACCGTCTCCCGGCATTGGCCGCGAGGAGGGCGGGTTCTGAGGGCGCTCGGCGCTGGCTGGCTCCGGGAAGCACTGCAACCCCTGGAGGCCAAGGCCACAGAGGGGGGCCGGGCGGGGCGCCAGGCGGATGGGGCTGAAGGTGAACTGGGACGGGGTCCTTTCTTTAACTGGTGGGATAGATACCCAACTTCTTCCCTACAAGGGCATTTCAGCCCCTTAAGCATTTCAGAGATTTTTAACTTACTCATCTAAGGGCAGTTCCTCCTTAGTTTATGTTCTTGTGTACCTACTCCAAGATGGAAGATTCTGCAGTTTGTTTTCAGGGCATTCCCCCCCCCTTTTTTTTCCTTTCTTTTTTAAACGGGGGTGCGGCAGGAATGTCCTGTCTTTGTCGCACGACTAATAAGCGAAGTAATAGGTATCCAGTGTTTTTTCCTTATCAGAAATGGTGTGTGATGCAGTTAGCCTTGCGCCTGGCATTTTTAGATCGTCAGGTTTGAAGGACCAGGGAAATGCATCAGGGCTAGGTAAGAAGTATATTTCGTTTTGCTGGAATGTATATTTTTGACAGAAGGAACGGGGGTCACAAAATGCTAGTATTCTCACTCAGCTAAGTTTTAGTATGACATTTAACACTTAGGACAAAAGCCACCACTGTATCTTTAGGGTTTTTTGTTTTTGTTTTTGTTTTTTTTTAGCACAGGCCCTTGACATAGATAGGTGCTCAATGATTGTGGAATGAATAATATTTGGTGTTTCATTTGCTTTCATAATATGTAATACATATGTATTGCATATATATTCTTATTCTGCCCCTTACAATTTTCCACATTATTACATAGCCTATGTAAATATACTTTGTAATGTCTGCATTTTATTTATTTACTTATTTATTTGAGAGAGAGAGAGAGAGAATGAGTGGTGGGATGGGGCAGAGGGAGGGAGAGAGAGAAGCCGACTCCCCGCTGAGCCGAAAGCCCTGATGCCATGCAGGGCTCCATCCCAGGACCTGGAGGTCACAACCTGAGCCCAAGGTAGATGCCCAGCTGACTAAGCCACCCAGGCACCCTCTGCATATTATTTATTTGAATGAGTTTATCACAGTAACCATTCTTTTATTGTTGACTATTGAATTAGTTTTAATGAACAGTCATTATGGCGCTAATTGCATATCACCAGTCAAGAGCAACTCTTTACTTCCAGAGATAGTAACAATCTTTGCTATAGCCATATTATTGTTAGAAAGTCCTTTTTCCCTCCAAAGGGCAGACATTTGACCCTGTGATTTCCCCCCTAGGAGTTCTAGCCATCCAGATTGCATCCCTTCCTTTGGAAGTATAGACAGCTTCCCCAAATGTGGGGAAATGTAGACTGGCCTTTTCTGTGCCCTAGAGGCTACATGCAGTTCTCTGTGGTGCCTCTGAGACCACACAGAGCTGCTCTGGAGAAGCTCAAGAGATAAGAGGAGCTGGCATCTAGGAAGGGGAAGGAAACCGGCCGGGCATGGTAGACGATGACAAAGCACTTTGAAACTGGTTATTTCTTTGGGTTCTCAGGGAGAGCAGGTAGCACAGAGATTATTCTTTTACAGAGCCAGAAACTGAAGCCCGGAGAGTGACTTGCCTAGGATCACAGAGCCCATTAGTGCCAGAATCTCCTACTCCTCGTAAAAATAACTGTGATTCACTGATTTTGGCCACAGTCACCGATTTTGGCTGCGTGGCCACAGTTCTTTACTCCATGCCTTTGTGATACCTGGCAGCTGCTCTCCGAGCTGCAGCTCTCTGGAGGTTCTGACCGCCGTCTCCAGTGCTGATCCCCACTGCTACGTTGGATGCTGGACCTCATTAGAGACTTCTGTTCCTTAGTTCTTTTTTTTCAATTTGACAGTTGCTTCCTGGCTTTACTTTCTTCCCATTTGTATGGCCAGCTCTCTCCACATTCTCAAGCCTTCTTTTTGCTTTCTTTTCCTGATCATCCTCCCTGACACCCTCCCATCATCAACCATCAATCTAACTATTGTGTTTCTCTTCCTCTTTAGGTTCCTGCTTCCAGCTGTACCCGAATCCTCAACTACCCACCGATTAGGTTTTTCTGTGATTCCCCACATTACTCTTCCCAAACCTTCTCCTCTCTCTTCCTGTCTCCTACTTCCCACTCTTACCCCTTTCCTTCACGACCAGCAGCTGACCTTGTCTCCTACTTCACAGGGGAACTTCCACAAGATCCTGCTTCCTGCAGCTCCCTGGAGGCCCATCATTTTCTTTCTCCCTTCCTCTTGGTCTTAGGGGGTGGTACTTCTCCTGTCCAGAGCAAATCTCTTCACCTCTGCCCTGACGTCATTCCTTCCCTCCATCTCTGGGATGTCTCACCAGGCATCTCTCTCTCTTCCGCATCCTTCAAGATCTTTTTCTCTACTGGTTCCTCCCCCTTTTTCCCTCCTAAAAAATGCTTCCTTGACTCCACATCTCCCTCTGGATATTGTCTGACTTCTCTCCTGCTCTTTTCATCCAAGCTTCCTAAACCAACTCTGCTGTTTGGTTTCTGCCTCCACTGCACCACTGAAACCACATTATCTGAAGTGCCCAAAGACCTAATCATAAAATCCAGGGGACATCTTCCAGTCTTTATTACTGGTGTCCCCACCTGCATCTAACATCAGTGATCACTCTATCCTTCTGGAAACCCCCTCCCTCCTTGGTTTGCTTGAAGCCACTCTGTCCTTCTGATGCCAGAGCTAGCATCTTGAATGTGGGTTTGATGGAGGCAGGTGGCTTGATCCAGCCTGTCTCCTGTGTGGTGCTCTCTCTTGGCCTCATTAGGTGCCAACTCTAAGGTCCTAGGGTGTCTGTCCCTGGGCTGGGATCTATTTGCCCCATACAGAACCAGGCCAGATTCCAGAGGCTTCCTTTTTATTGCTGATTTGAGCCAGGTTCAAAGAGGCCTGCGCCAGGTGTTGACACTGTCTGTCCCTGGAGGAGGGAAAAGCAGAGGTGAAGGGTCAGGTATGTGGGTCAGACATAGGGTCAGGCCAGAGGCTGTGTGGGCCAGGAGGCCCAGGGGGTCTGGGGTGGGAGCCAGGACGGCCAGAGGGCCCCTGCTCCTGTAGAGCCTCAGAGTCAGAGTTGCTGACGATGGCTTCTCGGAGGGTAGGCATCTCTGCAAAAGGCACATAGTCTGCTCCTGGGGGTGGAAACCAGGGCAAGTATGGGGTGCAGCAGGTGAGAGGGTGAGATAGTCCTGGATGGGATGGTTGAGGGTGAGAGCACCTTCTTGCCTGGCCTTCTGACCTTGACCCCCCCCCCCCCCCCGTTCTAGGTTGCCCCCTCACCATGAGGCCTCCCTCCTCGTCGCCGGGTCTCCTCAGTCTCAAAGAAAGTCTCGTGTTCCTCCCAGCGCCGGTCACAGGCCGCACAGAGGAAATTAGACTCAAAACAGTTGCAGCAACAGCCTAGGGCAAGGAGGAAGCCAAGACAGGTATAGGGAATTGGGCCTTCCCCATGGGCTAACTATATTCTCATCTCTTCTGTACCAACCACAAATGCGAGTTTCTTCTACCAGTTCCCCTATTCTTATCTCCAAACTATTTGCATCCTACCCATGCCCACCCCTGTACTCCCCTCACCCTAGAAATTACCTTTCACCCTGCAGGGATGGGACCCAGCAGCTGCATGGTCTTCATGGCTGTGTTTGCAGCGACATTGGGCCCTCCAGGCCTTGGGGTCAAAGGTAGCTCGTCTTTTGAGCCAGAACTCACCCACCTCCTCTGGGCGTGATGGGATAAAGCAGAACATGAGGCAGCGACACTGGCCCACGTTGCAGGGCACAGATATGTCTGTGGGAATGGGGACAGATGGTAGGATTAGAATGGCACCTCATAGGGCCTGGCCTTCCCGTGCCAACCCTCATACCAACATGCACACTTTCTCTCATATAGCCAGAGTATAGTTATCCCTCCCCGCTGGCAGGGGCTGCTCAGTTCTCCCTACCTGAGATGATCTGGTGCTCTTTCAACAAGTGTCCACAAAAGCATTTGGACTCATCTCCAATCCGGAAACAGTCCCATAGGTAATGGGGGCAGCGCCAGCCAATGTAGAGACCTGAGAGTGGAGGGATTAACAAGGAAAAGTGAGAAGGAATAATAGCCTAAGCCTCCTACCCAAGGCATTCTCACCTCTCCCCCTAGGTGTGTTCACCTCCACCCATGAGTTCTCATCCCCACCCCTTTAGACATTTTCTCGCCAGGTTTTCTCAGGGTTCCACAAGTGTTTCAGTTCCTTTTCCACCCCAGGATCCACTCCATCTCTGTTAGCCTGTCAGAAATGACTGAAGACAGTCTTCAAGATGATAAATGAAATTTTGTTTGAAGATGAACATGAATCTCGCCAAGTTCTCTGTGACTGTGAAGATTCCCATCTCCTCTCCTTCCCACATTAGAAACCAGCTTTGTTTTGTTTCCTTGAAGTGTCTAAGGTGAGGGAAGGGAAGATGATTGGCCAGGTGTAGAAGAGATGGTGAGGACTGGCACCTAAGAAGCATGGTTGTTGACGGGACCAGAGGCGGAGGAGGAGGAGGAGGTTGGGCAGCTCTGGGACCAGGAGAAGGGCTTTCCTCACTTTTCAAGGTTTGCACCTTCATATTACCTTTCTTTGTTCCTGGTGTTACCGAACTAATGCTATCTATGAATTTGAGAAGGGCTGCCTATGGTTCTCTAAGAATCAGGAGAAAGAGGTAGGCCAGAAGTCATGAGTGGTGAAGGTCAAGAAATCGAAGCTTGTGAGGCTAAAAAGTATCCTTGAGAGCAGGCACCAGCAAAATGCCACAACCCTTGAGAGCCTGGTTACAGTAGTGGGATCTGAAACTGGCTTCATGGTTAGCCTTACTAAAAGGCAAGGGTGGAGCCATGTAAATGTGGGAGGAGAACCAGAGAGCACATCCCACTCAGATTTTCTCACCCTTCAGGAGACCTGAGAGTACTCCAACTTCTAGGCAAGAATCCTAGATGAGTCCTCATGGAGTGGGACCTTCGGCCGTAGGACCAATTCCCATTTAAAGGCTACAGTGAGGTGTCACCTCCACCAAAAAGTTGTCCCTGACTTCCTCTGTCTACGGGCCCCTTCTCTTTCTTTGACTCCTTGTGCTACTCCTATTACAGTACAATACATCAGAATGGACTTTCCACTTGTATTCCTCTTCAACTGTAAGTTCCTCCAAGGAAGGGTCTGTCTTTTCGCCTATATCTCTAGTCCTAGCTTAGGGCTTGGCCAAAAGAGGTGCCCAGAGAGCACAGACTCCTTGACTGATGAAGTGAAGGAGCAAATTCCTTCAGGAAGGAAGAGAGACCCAGTATTCCAGGCGTAGCCCTGAAGTTAGTGTCCTCTGGTCTTTGACTCTGGCCAGGGCCACAATTCACAATTCTGTGCCTAATTGTCAGTCTAGGTTTTCTTGCCTTACCCATGGTCTTTCAGGGTCTAAAGCCTGTCCAGATATGGCTTTTGGCTTTGCTACTTCTGTCTTGATACTGACAGCCTATAGTGCCACTGCCCCATTACACCAGTGAGTCTTGGTCGAAGGGGCAGAGAATAGGCAGAATCACAATGGAGGTGAGTGGGGGCCAGAATTCCACTGGAGGAATTCTGAACTCTGTCCAGAGCAGCAGGACAGGCTGAGCAGATGAGGTGTGGAGGTGAACGAGGGTCAGTGCCCACAGATCAAGGTCCTGCCTGAGGGCCTGGGAGAGTCAAGTCCAAGCACTGGTATGGGAGTCAGTGTCCAGCTCTCAGATGAAGACTAGAATTTAAACAGACTAGCAACTATACCTCAGACTCCATTATAGGTGTCAGTGCTCTTAAAGTGGGACAACTGACATCAGGCCATGTAGTCCAGAGTGGGAGCCTCTTCTCTCTGCTCTGATTCCAAACACTCTTCCTGTTATAAGTGGACAAGGGCCGGCAGGGTGAGGAGACATTATCTGGGATGCCATTTTGACCCTGTATAAGGTGATTCTACGTAGTTTTGCCTTAAGAATCTTTGCCTCAAGCATTTTCACTGCAAACATTTTCACTGCATGATTAATTGGCCATAGGCAATTTTGCCACAAAAGATAAAATTATGAAAAATAAAAGGGCATTCATTAAAAAGGACATAATGAAAAATGGAAAATGAGTATCAAAATTAAAAATGGCTTTATTGCAAAATGCAATATATTTGAATTTAAAATGAATTTATTTTTTTTAAAGATTTTATTTATTTATTCATGAGAGACAGAGAGAGAGAGAGAGAGAAGCAGAGGGAGAAGCAGGCTCCCAAGGAGCTGGGAGCCCGATGCGGGACTCGATCCCAGGACCCTGGGATCATGACCTGAGCCGAAGGCAGACGCTCAACCATCTGAGCCACCCAGGCGCCCTGAATTTAAAATGTATAGAATAGATTCACAGCAATACTGTGAATAACTGATTTTATTTTGTGGATTGTACCTAAGCACTTGTCCTCAAAGTCTTACATTCATTGTATTACACGTTTTTGTTTTTTGTTTTTGTTTTGTTGTGCTTGTTGATTCATCTCCTTGTTTGGCATCACACTTTTTTTGCTAAAATTTCTTCCTTCATTAAGAGAGGTATCAGTTTCCAAATACTAGGATACATATTTGTAACTGAACTTTGTATTGTGTTGTGAAAGCTTTCTACACTGCTGCTTGTTCTTGGCAGATTGTCACATGTCCATCGATAGACATTCCAAAGTTGTATGGGAAGTTGTGTGGATTCAAAACTCTGTGTCACTGTGTAGACAATTATGAAGGCTAAGATCTATGTGATATAAAAATGGGAGTACTGTGTCAACAGAAAAATGAAACCAAACTGTCAACCAGTTGATGAAGCCAACAAACTGTCAAACCAAACTACCAACTAGTTTATCTTTTTTTTAATCTTTTTAAAAATCTTTTATGGCAAATTGCCTTATGGTTAACTAATTTTGTGGCACCCTACTTGTGGCAAAGGCGTCTACAGTACAGATGCTTACTCTGAAAGTACCAGACAGAGTACAACACAGTCGATTCCATGGTCATATATCACATTTGCATGATAACATCTATTTTTGCTTAGAACATCTCCATACAACATACAGCTGTCTTTACATGAAGGATGTCTCCAGTCCAGACTTCTCTCCTGAGCTTCAGACCCATATAGCTAGCTGTCTCCAGACTCTTTCACCACCATGTTCCACCAGCACTTCTAATGTGGTACAGCCAATTATTCCTTTCAAACCTGGCCCTCATCCTTTGTCCTCTGTTCATCCAACACATACTTATCATGCATCTACTCTGTTTTAGGCATTCATTAATGGTTATCATCATCAAATCAGTCTCTAAGCCAAAAACCTAGAGGTCATTCCAGGCATGTCCTTCTCTCTTATCCTATACATCCAAAGATCTAAAAGTCAGTTTCACCTTCTTAACATTTCTTGAACGTTCTGTTTCTCTCCACCTCCACCCATCTACTTCTTACCTGGATTATTATTACCAGTGACCAATGTAGTCTTCCTACGTCCAGTCTTATCTTTCTCCAGTCTACGATACTGCCAGAGCAGTCTTTCAAAAACACAAATTTGTTCATGTTATTGTCCCACTTAAAATCTTTTAGTGACTCTCAGCTACCCTTAGGATATAATCCCAGCTCTTGAGCTTTGCACAGAAATGCCTGTACAGTTCTGCCTTCCAGAGCTGAGCCCTGTCCAACATTTCTTGCACTTTCCTACTGGTGCCTTGCCCTGTCAGATCTCACCTTACCCCAGTTTTCACCTGGCCACCTCTTTTTACTCATCTTATAGATTTCAGCTGAGAAGTCATCCCTTCCAAGGCTTATTCCCTGAGCCCCCAAGATTGGGTGCCCTTTTTTTCTGCTTGTGCGGCACTGTGGGCTGACCTCAATCATAGCAATTAGAATGAATTATAATTATCCTTTTACTTATTGGTGGCTCTCATTAGAGTACAAATTACTTGAGAGATTTTGTTTTTGACATCCCACCAGCCACTGCCTCCACATCTGGCTCAATGACTGGCATACAGTTGGTGCTCAATAAACGCTGAATAAATAAAAGAAAAGCTTACATTTGATCCTTCTCTACACAGCACACATTCTGATTCTCTAGGGACTCAAGATCCCCAATATTAGGAGGGAACTCTAAATACCTTTTTCAGGATTGAATGACACTTAAATTACTACATAAAACCGCCCGTTTAAACAGGAAAATGAAGAAGTTCCATGTGAAAAAGTATAGCAGCCTTGAAGAGTGGGGAGCAGGCAGGAGGTGCTGAGGAGATCAGGGACTGAATGACCCTGTATTTGCAGGAAGAATAAGAGTGACAGAAGATGTTAAAATAAGCAAACAAAGCCATTTAAATGCCTGAATTGAGACTGAGAAACAAATGAGATCATTATGACTTTCTTGGCCAGGGGTGGAGGGGAAGGGTCCCAGCTTGAGAATGAGGAAAGTAAATTGCATGGAGAAGGGAGGACATAGGATTGCCTGGTTGTCTTTATATCTTAGGACCATCTAGTTTCAACATAACTCTCTTCCTATCATAAGGGGAAAAGGAAGTATGAAAGACAAAAGTAAATGCACTGATGTCTACTGAATTCAGTTTAGAAACCCCCAGAATCTGCAGAGCAGGTCAGGATGGCCTGCTTTCTGAAGTTACTCGCTATAGGCATGAAGTGCAGCAACACAGGTACACATGCTCGCACCAGACGGCACGGGTTTACATAGTACATCTGCACACCTTTTATATGCAGGCACAGATAAGCATAGCGTGCCACTAATGGGGCTGGCATGAGTACTAATTCTGGGCTGAGACTTGGAATCATTAGGGCTTGAAGATATGACTCTTCTCTTTGGTGAAGAGACTCATAGCTTTTGGGTACCCACGTGATAATGGTCTGGCATGCGGGGTGACAGCCTTTTAGTGGAGTTCCACCAAGGGGACCAAGGCCTTTTGCCATGTCAGAGCCACAAGTCTCCTGGACTGTCTAGGGTCCTGGGCCATCTCTGCCTTAAGGTTGGTTTGGTGCAGGCTCTCAGAGCCCTAGATGTGGGGCTGGCCTATGACCCTTCTTCTTCTTTTTTTTTTTTTTCAACAACTTTAGTTTGCTGCCTGTCTCTACCTGGGATTTATATGAATATCCTCACTTTTTTCTGTACTCATGCTGTCCACTTTGGCCGACCTGGCTTCTCCTCTCCTAGATTACAGGCAGTTAGCATTGCCATTTCCACAAGGGGCAGTGATCCATTGATCAGGGCAGGTTCCCTGATCCAGTTGGATTGGAGGATGGCCACGGTCCTGTCACAGGCTTCTGAAGGGCTTTCTGGGCTCACCTGTCTGGATGGTACTTAGGGCTGCATTCTTCTCCCATTGGAAAAGATAATTCACCTGAGCACCAAACTTCTCTCTGGGCATTGCCTTAGCCACTTCCACCAGCTCTGCTTGCTTGGCAGGCACCACTGGGTGGACTGTGTAATCTGGGAAGGGAAAAGCTGAGTAACCAAGGGAAGGTGAGGAGGCCCTAAAACTAAGAGAAGGGGCCAGGTTAAAGAGTAACCCAATCCCTCCTCCTGGGGCAGGTATAAGACAGTGATGAGAATGGGGAAAAGTGCAGGCATAATTACAGCTAACTCCTTTCTTCTTCTTCTTCTTGCCCAGCTGTTGTCCAGGCTGAGCTGTGTGTGCAGTGCTGTCAGTGGCATCCACCTGCTCTTTGTCTTCTCCTTCCTCTTCCTTTTCCTTTGCAGATGTGTCCAGGTGGACCGGGGCTGAAGGGCTTGAAAGGGAGTGCTTTTGAAGGATCTCAGACTCAGAGGTCTGGATGGACCTCCTTGTCCATGAGACCTCACTGGGAGAATACTTAGAGAGGTCTTCCTTCAGAGTATCAGGGGAAGGTACAGCGACATAGTCTTGTGATGAGGTAGGAGAAGAAAGGTGTTTCTCTGGGACCTTAAAGATGTGAGTTTCCAACAGGGTCTCAGGGATAAGGGTTTCTAAAGGGATCTCAGAGTATCCTACAGGGGTCTCAGAGATGGAGGGCTCCAAAAGGGATTCAGAGGTGTAGGTCTCTAAAGGAGCCAGGGAAGTGGATGGAAGCATATGAGATTCAGAGGTGTGGGCCTCTAGAGGGGTCTCAGAGATGGAAGGTTCCAAAGGGGTTTCAGAGTTGTGGGTCTCCAAAGGGGCCTGGGAAGTGGATGGAACCAGATGAGATTCAGAGGTGTGGGCCTCTAAAGAGGTCTCAGAGATGGAAGGTTCCAAAGAAGTTTCAGAGGCATGGTTCTCTAAAGGGGCCTGGGAAGTGGATGGAACTAGATGAGATTCAGAGGTGTGGGGCTCTAAGGGAGTCTCAGAGATGGAAGGCTCCAAAAGGGTTTCAGAGGTAAGGGGCTCTAAAGGGGTCTCAGAGATGGAAGGCTCAAAGGCTGTTTCAGGGATAGGGGGCTCCTGTGAGTCCTCGGAAGGGTCCTTTGAAGAGGAGCGCTCCTCTGTTTCCATGGTGGTATGAGGCTCTTCTGTGACCTTGTCTGCTTCCATCTAGTGGTAGAAGAGGGTACAGGCTTCATTAGGTTCGGACTGGAGGGTCTGCGAGTCAAGAGTTCACTGGGGGTTATGGAATTAGGATAAGGTTTTCAGGGCACCTGAGATATAAGGAGGAAGCAAGATGAACTTTGGGTCAGGGTATAGTGCCAGGAGGTTCACCTGTGTGCCTAGACCCCATGTGACATGTGGCTACGGATTGTGAGGGAGCTGGAACTTAAAGACAGAAAGGTTGAAGCAGTCAGAATCCCATCAGTAGATGGTAGCAGAGGACCGTGACCCAGGAGGGAGCCTAAACATAGCAACTTGGTTAGTCCAAGAGCAGGGTCCTGGGCCTTAGGACCATGGAGTTCAGGCAGTGGAGTTCTAGAGACTGGGATACCCAGCCAAAGTGGGGGTTTGCTCCTAAGAGTGCAGGACAATGCCATGATGCATTAGGCAGGGCCCCGACTGCAGTCTGGTTTTGTCTAGGACCACATACACCCTCCCTTGATGATGTCACTCATGTTCAAGGCTTTAGTTACTTCCAGTGGTATGCGGATGATTCCTAAATCCGTATTTCCAGTTCAGACCTCTTTAAATCCCTGTATTTAACACTCATACCCAACTGCTTGCTGGACATTGCTAAATGGATGTCCCACAGGGCATGAAAGCTGAACTCTGGGAATTATTTTGGTCTTACCGTTTCCCCTCAGACCTCATCTTCAAATAGGCACCAAGGACTGTATTTCCTATTTTCTAAATAATCCCAAAATCCATTCTCTCCTTTCTTTTCTCTCTAATTTTGTTTAAGTTCTCATCATTTTCTACCTGGATTATGTAGTAACTTCACCCCTCTGTCTCCTCCAGCATATTAATCCACTCAGCCATTCTTTCATTGATTTATGTAACTTATACTTTTATAAACAACCCAATCTTACACTTTTGCCCAGGCACTGTGCTAAGCACTGGACTCAGTTGAAAGAATCTGGGAAGGAGACCAGGTTAACCAAAATGACAATACAGATGAGTTGGTGGTGTGCTGGGGTAAGCTCAGGATGCTGTGGAGTGGGGTGTGACAAATTTGTCTTGGAAGGATGTCCAAAAGAAGTCATTCCTTTTTTTTTTTTTTTAAGGATTTATTTATTATTTATTTTGAGAGAGTGAGAAAGAGAGAGAGAGTACATGAGAGGGGGGAGGGTCAGAGGGAGAAGCAGACTCCCTGCTGAGCAGGGAACCTGATGCGGGACTGGACCCCGGGACTCCAGGATCATGACCTGAGCCGAAGGCAGCCGCTTAACCAACTGAACCACCCAGGCGCCCAGAAGTCAGTCCTCCTTAATGACCCAATGGAGATCTTTCTTTAAAAATGTAAACCTAACAATGGCATTCCTTTGCTTAAAAACACTCAATTGTCTCAGCCTAAGGATTAAGTCTAAATTTCTTGGCCCTGACATTCAAGGCCTGCCATTATTTGCAACACTGCCTAAGGATTCCAGCTTTAGCCTTCTGTGCTCCCTTTCTCCCCAAGCTCCAGAGATGCTAAACACATTACTTAACATTCATTAGAGTCTTTCCAAAGGGGAAGTTTGGGACAAGAAGTAGGGAGACAGGTAGGATGATAGGAATCTGACCAGACATTCCGCAAGAGGAAAAAGATACTTGAAGGTGGAGAACCAAGGATGGGAGAAGGATAAAAAGAAGGGGAAGAGGGAACTGGGCGAAGAAGTGTGGCGGAGGGGGAGTGTAAGGATGAAAAGTAGAGAATGGGAGGGGTTTCGAGTGAGGTGGGAAGGGGCAGAAGGTGTTAGGAGCGAAATGGGATGAGAGTTTGGAGGAGGAGCCTTTGGAGAAACCACATACCTCTGGGCTTTGGCTTGGCTGTTACAAGTCCTTCCTTAAGTCACGATCTCGTCTGAAGCTGGGAAGGGGAAATGTTAGGGGAGGATGGAAGGCTCTTGGATGAGACTCGCCTTGCAGTTGTTATGTAATGAGAGGCCTTGCCTTCAAGTCTACCACTTGGGGAGGGAAGTTGGACACCTGCAGAAATTCGCAAAGGAACTCTGGCCAGATCTGGGGGAGGGTGGGAGGGGAAGGAACGAGGGGTTCCGCGGCCGATGAGGGAGGAGCTTGACTGAAACTTCTGGAACCCCAGCCGGGAGAGGAGGGATCCGTCACCAGGGCAACCAGAACGCCCAGGAGTCTCCGTGGCAACAGCACTGGTTTCCAGATGAGGCTGCATTGGACCCAGAGGGGACGAGCCTAGAGGGCTCACTTTTAAAGGGGTTTTGCGGGATCTCTGTGAGAGTGTTTGGGTAGTCTGCGGACGTCTATGGGGACGTCCGTAGGTGTCTGGGTTTGTGAGGGTCTCTGTAGGGTTCCTATGAGATGTGTGTGGCTCTATCAGTGGGGGCTGTGAGGATCTGAGGTTAGCATCGGCGTTCCGAGGTTGGGGTGAGAAAGGGGATCAAGAAGCTGGGGCTGGGGCGGAGTCTGTCCTCGGCCCGCAGAATCAAGTTGGAGACCAATAGAATAGGGCAGGGGGTGGGCTTTACTGGCAAGAACCAATCGAGCTGATAGATGGGCGGAGCGTCATAACTACGTCAGACAGAGGCCGCCGCCGCGGGGCCTGGTTGTCGCCGGTCCAGCGCAGCCCGGAGTCGCCCAGGCCTGAACTCCTACCCAGGTCCCCGGCCCGGCCTTAGCCGGCCTGACCCCGACCCCGGGCCCACGAGGACACCGAAAGCCACCCCCCTAGGGGTGGGGAGCGGAGCCGTGGGTCAGCTCTGCGCGCACCCCGCGCTGGCCTGTCCGGCCCCGCCCCCGCCCCGGGCCATGGCCCAGCCCTGGTCCCGGCCCCTCGTCCTATCCTCGTCCAGCCCTTGGCCCCCAGCCCCGCCCTCGCCCCGCTTCCCAAATCGGCCCCTGCCCCGGCCTGGGTCCCAGCGAACGCCCAGATCCGAATCCCAACCCAGGCCCCCCCTCCAGTCCCAGTCCCTGTGCCTGTCCTGGCCCCCAACCCCTCCTCTGCCCTTGTTCCACCTCCTGTCACAAATCCCAGCCGAAACCCTGTCCCAACCCCATTCCCAATGTTTGCTTAAACCCGGGGCCCAAACCCTGCCCTTGCCCCAGTCCCCGTTACAGCCCCTCCTTCAATCCCATTCCCTGCCCTTGTTCAAGCCCCAGTGCCCAGCACAGCCCAATCCATTATCTCAGCCTTTGCCCTCATCTCTGTGTTTACCCAAGTCTCTCCCACTACCCACCCCCCTCTCTCATACCCTGCCCCTCTCCCAGCCTCGACTCAGGTCTGGGCTCCAGCTGCCGCCAGCCTTATTGCTGCTGTTGCTGTTCTCTGTCCTTGGCCCAGGGGCTGGTGAGTGCAGAAGCAGGAAGCACTGAGGCAGGGAGGGGTGGACTGGAGGGATTCAGGAGAGATGGGACCTGGGCAACTAGATCATTGGGGAAGAAGTCGGGAGAAATAGGGAGGAGAGAGGTCTTACACAACTGAGAGAAATTGGGAGGGTCAGAAGAGAGGAAACTGTGGGCTTGAGGCTCAGCAGGTGCCTAATAGTCCCCAGGACAGAGACTCCAAGGTTTTCTTTCCTGGTGGCCATCCTGACCCTGCTTTGACTCTTGCTTTTCCAAGGAAGGAAACTTGGAACTTCTTCTGCAAGGGAAGTTTGATGGGGGAGACATGATCCTATATCAGAGAGCCTCTGGTCCAGTGTGGGAAGTTCTAGCCTAAACTTTGAGATATTGGGCATGCATTAAAACAGGGTTAAGAAAACAGTTTTGAAAACAACATGTAGCAAACAGTTGGACATGGGTTAGTTTTCTTCTTGTAATGAGTCTTGTTCCAGATAAGTTTGTTTTGCTGAAGAATAATTCCTGACACTTCTAGAGCAGTCTTGAAATATAGAGGGCCATTTTATAGATGGGGAAACTGAGGCTTAGTTGGGGGCAGTTTTCCCAAGGTCATACAGCTTGTACATGGTAGTACTGGGCCTAAAAAAAGTTTCCAAATTCCTGTTTTATACTAGTGTTTTTTTTTTTCAATGGAACATATGCCTAATAGGAAAATAGACCCAGTTGAGAGAAGACTCAAAGTACAACCTGTCCTCTCCCATGTCTGCCCACAGTGGGGCTTCCTCATTTGCCAGTTGTCAGCCTAGGACCACCATCCAGGGAGGAAGTGATTCGGAGAGGGGGAGGTCCAACTTCTTAATGGGTGGAATGTGGGAGCAGGCGGGGTTCCTGGCTGTAGGAGATATGCCATAAAGTTGGCCCCATCTTAAGGAGATGACTGTGGTCTTCACAGCCTTAGCCTCCAATCCCCTCTGGCACTCTAGATAAGATGGAGATATACCTAAGGGAGTCTGGCAATAATAACAGAGCAACTGGGTGGGAGTTGGGTTTCAGTGAGCTTTGGGGGCCTAGTTCAGTGTATAAACTTGAGAAGATTGGTACATGCCAAAGGTTATGCCGCTGCAGAGGTGTCCAAGCTCTATATGTATGTTCACTGGCATCTGGGTACCTATGTGTTTGTGTACCTGAGGGGTCTGTGGGAATGCTTGTCATGTGCAGTGTGTATACATGCTTATGTGTTAGTATGTTCTTTGGCATGCATGGGAGCCCCTGAGTGTCCTCTGAGTGCCTATGTGATTGCGTGACGGGGAGAGTACATGTTGTGGCCACACATGTTCCTCTTCAGCAATTCTTGCTCCTCCTATAGACAGATCACCAAAGTGTCACCTTCCAAATGGATTTCTTAGTTGGAGGCAGTGTTTGCTGCCTCCCACAACATATAGGAGTAATCCATGTGCCCCTAGCCTGACTCTTTGAAGGAAGGAGCTGTATAGGGGCTCAGTGTTGATGACTGCTGCTGGCAAATCAGGCACTCAGTAGAGGTAATAACCAGGCCAGTTTTTCAGTTTAGGTGAGGGAGAATCTACTGTTGAGCCCAATTCGTAGTGTCCATCCCTGCCACCATGGCTTCTTTGTTCACGAGCCCATTGAGCAAGCCTTGGCTGGCTAAGGGAGGAAGGTGACTGACAGCCACAGAACAGTAGGAAGCTGAAAGATGTGGATTAGAAGACGATTGTCCAGAAGCAGGTTCAGGTGCTTTGGGGAGAATTGTAATGAAGTTGGAAAAGAGCTCTGAATAGGCTCTACTAAGTAAGGGCTGCCCTGTGTGTTAATAATTCCTGCCTTGGTGGCTGTGGTCTGGCCTGCAGGGTTGCTGTGACCTGGTGGTGGTGACAGGTTTCACCTGAGGAGAGGCTGGCAGTGTCACGGGACCATCAGAACACATCAGAGCACATAGCGTAGACTTAATAAATGTTTATCGTTGGCTTCAGTCTCATTTCAGGAATGGAAGGTACCTCCTGGGTCTCCTGGTCTACCCCAATCCTTGGGTCTTTTCCTTGGGCTCAGCTGACTATAGTTGCATAGCCCAGGGGTGCCTTGCCATCCCAGGAAGTTGCCTTTTGTTCCACCTAGCGCTATCACTAGCAGGGCCAGCCTCTGCCTGTGTGTGTATTTGTGTGTGTGCGTGTGTGTGTGCATCTGCGTGTGCATGTATGTTTCAGATGGTGGTGGAGAATCACCCTAGCTTCATGTGGAAGTATTGAGCATCCAGGACGGGTTTGTCTGGGCTTGACTAGGGCTTTACTCATGCTTCCTCTGGGACACAGCTCTGTAGGCATCATTGTGAAATGCCAAACCAAAGCTTGGAGTGAATGGGGCTGTAGACACTTTCTCAAGCATCTGCCCTCAGAACTTCTGGGCTCCTCCCACCATGTCCAGTTGCTGCTCACTCCCTTTCCCACTAGCCCATTCTGTGACCTCTGTAGCCCCCGGCCACTTTTCGGGTGGCTTAACCAATTTCCCAGTTCTCCAGGCCATGCCATGTTCCTTTGAATCACAAGGGTTTTTTGTACTTGTACTTTTGTACTTTGTGCTTATCCATTGTTTCCCAAAAGTCATTAGCTGCTTTTCACCACCAGTTCTCTGAGGGTCTGCATTGGGGGACTGGCCAACATTTCTTCCTCACAATAGCAGTGGCCCATCCGATGACCCATCCCTGGTACCAGCTTTGGGGAGGAGAAGCTCTCCCCTAACCCCAGCAGAGGGTGCTCCAGAGCTCCACTTTCTTGTAAACAATAGCAGCCAGGCTATTCAGCTCTTGGCTTTCTGCCTCTGTTATCATTCATTGCTCAGCTTGCAAAGGTGGCAGGTTTTCCTTGCTGACCGTTGAGGCCCATCATGTGGTCTGAAGCGGACTGACTAGTCCTTGGGTCTAGCCATGGCTTTGAAGATGAGCATAGGCCAGTCTAGGGCCAGTGGCCTCTATATACTTAGGGCAGCTCCCTGCAGGGTGACCTTGAAGTTCAGTGGTGCCTTCCTTACCTGTGTTCCCTCCTTCAGCAGGCTCCCTTTCCCAGATGCCTCTTTCTCTCTTATTCCAAATACCTCATCTTGAGTTATAGCTCCCATTTCTGGAAGGGAGATTGTCAGACTAGGTAAGCCCTGTGTGTATTTCCTGTTTGGCTGAAAACTCCCCTTCACGGTCTTCCCTCTACCCCCTGCTCTGTCCTGAAGCTGCTGGAGTTCCCAGCCTTCTCATCTGTCCTGGGGGCATGCTTCTGTGCTTCTCTAGGGCTGATCTTAGGTCTCCAGAGCAGTCAGATTCTCCAGAACTTTGCCCGCCATCTGGGACACTCTTCTATGCAGCTGAGCTACTGGGTTATTTTCACTGTCACGGCAGTCCTAGTGCCCATGCGTTTGCCTGGAGAGCTGCTGACACCAGACTTTTTTGCTCACCTTGGCTCTGCTCTGAACAACCACGATCAGGTACTTGTATCTTGGCACTTCAATTAGAGATAACCAGTACCCCCAACCCCAAGTATGAATATTTCCAAGTGGTTTGAGATTCTACTGAGTCCCAGCTGACTGCCTCACCGGGCCTCCCTCTGGGGAAACGCCCTCTGGTTGCTCATTCTGAATCCTGCAGGGCCTGATGACTCCCCTCCTCTCCTGCGAGTTCTCATGGTGGCCTACCAGCTCCTGTTCTTGCCTCTGCCACCCAGGCAGGCCCCTTGCATCCTCACCACACTTTCCCCTTCCCCCTCCTGCCCTGAG